ACAATTATTAATTCAGACAGAAGAAAGTTATATGAGTGGGGTACCTCGCTGGCTCAGTCAGTAGTGTGTGCAACTCCTGATCTTGGGGTTGTACATTCAAGTTGGGTGTAAAGATTACTTAAAAATAAAATCTTTAAAAAAAAAGTTATATAAGAAAGGGAAACATTGTGAACAAAATGTATATGACCGTACCAGTCAATACGCCAAGTGTTGATTTAACTAAAAATTATGAAATATCACTATTGGGAGGTTTGGTGAGAGGAAGTGATAACAGTCAATATATAAAATTTTTACTGGAAATATCAAATAATACAAAAAGCACTTGGAAATAAGGCAGTAAATCTCATGAAAAACAGATGAGTGAGTTAAAAGTGGTTGTCTCTGGAGAAGACTGCAGGTGTTGAGAGGAAAGGCAAGGGTCTGTTGTTTTTCATTATAAACTTTTTAGCCCTATTTAATTTTTTAGCTATATGTATGCATTACTTTGACTATATTTTTAGAGAATTGAAAACTGGATAGCTTTCTACCATGTGATTCATTGTTATGTAATTCCATGTCAATACCTAATACTATCTTTTTTTTAAGATTCTATTTATTTGAGAGCGCATGTGCACGAGTGGGGGAGGGACAGAGGGACAAGCAGACTCCCCACTGAGTGCAGAGCCTGACTTGGGGCTCGATTCCAGGACCCTGAGATTATGACCTGTGCTGAAGTCAGATGCTTAACCCACTGAGCCACCCAGGCAGCCCAATATCTAATACTATCTTAAATCACCTCAGCTTCCACTAAGGAGTTGGAGGCTTCACACACTATATAGAGCATTTATGAATGGCTAGAGTTTTATAAAGAAGTGAAAAGGATGACCAAAAGTGTGGTGTGCCGGGAATATGACAGTCTTTTGTGGGTGTGGCTATCATGGGAATCCTCTGAGACCTCAAGCTGGCCCCCATACCACACTACTCACCCCATTTCAAGTGGTTTCCAGCCCCCAACATTCCTCACAGCCTGAGCATCTCCCTCCTGACCTTCACAGTCGTCAAGACTTTGGGCCTGTTTTTTTATTGAATCTCCTTTTTTCCTCTATATTTGAGCCTGTCTTCTTTTTTTCAACTCTGAGCTTTGTTTTTCTCCCTGACGATGATTTCTTCTTATTTGTTATTAAATTCTGCATAGTTAGAGATGATATTTGGTTACATGGAATAGGGCCAGCTGTAGTGGCTTAATCAGGTAGAGGAAGACTGAGCAGGTACAGACATGTCCCATCATTCCCTTCTCTTTCTCCACCATCAGCCTTAACAGGTGATTTTATCCTCATAGCTGTAAGGTGGCTGCTTCACTGAGAGCCTCCCATCTCCATTCCAGACCAGAAGAAGAAGGAAGGGACAAGGAGAATGTACTCGTACCTGTATGAGGAAATCTCAGAAATCCCCAGCATACTTATGCTTATTTCTAGTTGGTCAGAAGCATGTCACATGCCCATCCCTAATTTTTAGCTGGACACATTTCTGCCCTAAGAAAAAAAATTTTTTTTTTAACAAGATTTTTTTTTTTTTTAAAGATTTTTTATTTATTTATTTGAGACAGAGAGAATGAGAGAGACAGAGAGCACATGAGAGGGGGGAGGGTCAGAGGGAGAAGCAGACTCCCCGCCGAGCAGGGAGCCCGATGCGGGACTTGATCCCGGGACTCCAGGATCATGACCTGAGCCGAAGGCAGTCGCTTAACCAACTGAGCCACCCAGGCGCCCTGCCCTAAGAAAAATTTGAGCTCTGTTAGAAAATAAGGTCAGAAAAGATATCAGTCAGGGAACTAGAAGTATTTGCCTCAAGCTCCTTTAGATTATGATTGATAGGTCAACTGGTCTACACTAGACCTGGTCAAAGGCCTTTGAAGCCAGTGACACCCCCATCCCCAAATGGCCCAAGTGAGACACCAGGGTCTTTATTAGACATACCACATGGCCCCTCAAGTCACCTAGCAGAACTACATCTGTATAACCTTTTGCTCTATAAGGAAACATGGAAGACACTGGGCCAAAATTAGGCCCAAGAAACATGAGTGCCTCTCAATCTAGGCACACCCCTGGGAGATTATTGCCTTAGATTTTATTATGGCCCAGCCCCACCCTGAAGTATCAGAGCAACATTCCCCCCACAACCACACCTTTTTTTGTGATGACCCGCAGGATGGAATGACTCATAGGATAGAATGACCACACCAAGTATCAATAAGCACTGCTCACTGGAGGAAAACATCCAAATAGGATGCTGACTTTGCTTATCTTCCAGGCGCATATGTACCACCCAAGCCCTCAGTGACACAGTTTCTGGCCCTTTCTACATCCTGAAATTATAAACTGTATTGTCTTATACCTCCAGGTCCCTTACCCATATTCATCCACCTTATCCTCCACTACCCTTTACTGTGCCCAGCCTGATTTGTTCCCACACCCTTACAACCATTTTCATGTTGCACTCTCAATTGACCATCTGGAGGGTCATGCAGTCCTTTTTTTTTAAAGATTTCACTCCTTCATTTGACAGAGAGAGAGACAGGGAGAGCAGGAGCACAAGCAGGGGGAGTGGGAGAGGGAGAAGCAGGCTCCTGGCTGAGCAGGGAGCCCGATGTGGGGCTTGATCCCAGGACCCCGGGATCATGACCTGAGCCGAAGGCAGACGCTTAATGACTGAGCCACCCCACGCCCCCATGCAGTACTATTTTTAAGTACTTATTTATAGTACATGCAGTCCTATTTTTAAGGTTCTTATTTTTCCTCTCCACCATATTTCCTACTTACCTTTTTGCTTCTGGCCTCTTCCTGGTGTATCCTGACCTCCAGAAACTACAGCTTGAGGCCCCTGTGGACCTGCAAGCAGGACCCAGACATCTGGCTAGATGAGAAACAGGAAGGGGGAGAAGGGCAGGTGCCATGGGAAATAACAGAAGGATGGGTTGACACAGGCTCTCCGAATGGCATGCTAGGTATTTGAGTCTTATTATCTGACCCCAATTTTGATGTATGGGGGTAGGTTTTTCCACACACCACCAAGCAATTCCCAAATACTAGCTGGGTGGCCCACAGTTCAACTCAATTCTGATCCTACCCATCTGGAGCTTAGCATCAGATTCCACAGGTTAAGGGCTCAGTCCCACAAGACTGTCCCCTCCCCCCCACAACCACTTCAGACATCAATAGCAAGTCCAGATTGTTACCTGGGCTTCTGACTGACTGGTTATAAAGCTGAGGTTCTCATGACCCACTCCTTGGGTTTGATTAATTGGCTAGAACAGCTAATATGACTCAGGAAACCAGTTTATTCACTAGATTGCTGCGTTATTACAAAGGTTATTAAAGGATACAAATCAATAGCCAGATGACGAGATACAGAGGGTGAAGTCTCGAACAAAGCAGCTCTGTCCTCATGGAGTTTGGAGCCCAGCATGATGGCACGTGGAAGCATTCTGGTTTCCCAACCTGGAAGCTCTTGAATCCCGTCCTTTGGATTTTTATGGAGGCTTTATTACACGGGCATGATTGATTAAATCATTGGCCATTGGTGATTGATTCAACCTCCAGCCCCTTTCCCCTCCCTGGAGAATCAGGGGGTAGGACTGAAAGTTCTAACCATTCATTTATGGTTGGTTCCCCTGGCAACCAGCTTTCCAAGTCTCCTCATTAACATAAATTCAGGTGTAATGGAAAGGGGCTTGTTTTGAATTACAAGGCACCCATTTCACCTTTACGGCTCTAAGGCATTTTCAGGAACTGAGAACAAGGGACCAGATATTACATTTTTCAAGTTTTCTTTTTTAAAAATCCAGTGTAGTTGACACGGAGTGTTATATTAGCTTCAAGTGTACAATATAGTTTCTATACATTACTCGGTGCTCATCATGGTACGTATACTCTTTAATCCCCATCACCTATTTTACCCATCACCCCACACACCTAAGAGACCAAAAGCAGCTCCCATTTCTCTTATTGCTCAGGAAATTCCAACGGTTTGGGAGCCAGGAACCATGGACAAAGACCAAATATATATGAGAAATCTGAATACTCTAAATACATATTTCTTATAAATCACAATATTGCTGGTCTTTATAGGATAATCAGTGAAAAATCTTGGTTTCAGGTGATACAGGACCAACTCAAACTGATCTAAGTACACATACACAAAATTGTTGACCTATAAAACTAAAAGTCCAAGGGTGGTTCTAACTACAGGTCCAGCTGGATTTAGGGGTTCAGGTGACACTCCCTACCTTCATCTCCTGGAAGTTCTGCTTGTGTTGACTTTATTCTCAGACAGGTTCTTCCCACACAGTGGCATTTTGGGCAGCACTGGCCATAAGTTTACATTGTACCCGTTTAATCTCAAGATTAAGAGCCTTTCTCCTGTTTTCACTGGACCATCATGAGTCACATGCATACCTGTTAACCAATCATTGTGCCAGGGAGAATAAATCCACTAATTGGCCAGATCTGGGTTGTGTGCCCATCCACCCCTGGAGGACAGGGGAGTGGAACCCCAAAGTAAACTCAAGCTTCTGTTTCAGAAAGAAGCTAAAATGCAAGCTGGACAAGCAAAACCAAGAGAGGTCCACTAAAGATGAAGAGCTAATAAAGTATTAGAGGTGATGAATGACAAGATCAGAATTTCACTTTCAGATGATTAATTTGGAAGTAGATTCCAGGATGGATATGGGGGTGGGGAAGTCTGAAGCTAGGAAGACCAGTTGGAAGACTACTACAGTTATCCAGGTAAACATATGACAGTAGGAATTGAAAAGAAAGGACTAGAGTGAGAAGTTTTTATAGAAATAAATTGTTACAGATCACTCACATCAAGAAGATATAGGGAAAAGGTATTAGGTGAGAGAAAAGTTGCCCAGTTAATAACAATGTGGGAAAAGGCCCCTCTCAGAAGCTAAGACCCAATCCATCAAATGGAGTTGTGAGATATCCTGCCCATTTACTATTATGTTCTTCCCCTTTCAGGTAAACTACCAGTCTTAAAAATTATGGTCACTCCTCAAGTCTCTTCAGAAACCTTCAGATCTATTTGGAAAAATAGCAGGAAATCTAGTATTACCCGTAGAAAGAAGAAAAAGGTATGTTCTTAGATGTCTGGGTCTGCTGAGTTGCAGCCACCAGGAGAGTGTGTGTGCAGAGCCTGGGCACTGAACTGGGGTAGATGCCACCCTCAGCAGATTTTGCACTTGATAAAATCACGAGAATTTTGGTTCTAGGTAATAGTATCCCAAACCATCAGTCCATTCTGATGGATGATTGTATCAAAGGACAAGTAGTAGGAAACAACATAGTTCCCTCAAATGTTGGTGCAAACCTTGCATCCTGTCTTCAACTTTCCCACTTCCCCCCCCCAAATCCTGGTTCCTGTTAGCTTATTGTGGTTTTGAAATGGTGAATTTACCTAAACTATTTATGAAACATGTGGGATCTTTTAGGTGGTAATGCTTTACGTATGTTTACTCCCTATTGTATGAAGTTGAACTTCCTTTTTTTTCTTTTTATAATTTATTATTTTTTCTTCATTATTTCATAGGCTAAAAACTGAAGATGGATGCCATATATCTTTATGGATGCTGTCTATTTCCATGGCCAACCAGACATGTGTAGAAAGATATTGCTTTTTCTATAATAATTGTTTTCACTGGGACCAAGCCCATCTCAAGTTCTAAAATTTGATGACAATTTATGAAAGTTCAAAGTAGTGTTAATCCTGCTATGCTTGTCATTTTCTTTTTTTTTTTTTAAAGATTTTATTTATTTATTTGAGACAGAATGAGAGACAGAGAGCATGAGAGGGAGGAGGGTCAGAGGGAGAAGCAGACTCCCCGCCGAGCAGGGAGCCTGATGCGGGACTCGATCCTGGGACTCCAGGATCATGACCTGAGCCGAAGGCAGTCGCTTAACCAACTGAGCCACCCAGGCGCCCCATACTTGTCATTTTCTAAAATGTGGGTTTCACAAGTTGACCTTAGTAAAAATAGGTAGGATTCTCCTCTGGTGCTTCTTATGTGCTTGTGAAATTTATAATTTGAAGGAAGTCATGATCTTTATCTAAGAAAGAAAGAATCTTCTTTCATGAGTATATCTATAGTTGGGAATAATAGGAATATTTGGAAATAACCACTTTCTGAAAGACGACATCCCCCAAAATGGGGATACTCCCCAAATGAGGAAACTTCTAATCAATCACTTTAACCACTCCTCCCCCCACCAAATGAAGATATCTGCTCCATAGGAAAGAGAAGAGGTGTGGTTGACCAATGTATGGATGATAAATTGGATTAGTTGAAAGTTATATGCCATGACGATATGGTGCAGGGATGAAAAGCGTGGACTGGGGAATGAAATGGACTGGAATTCTCTGTGGAAAACTGCTGCAGTCCAGGTGTGTGACATTGGCCAAGTCGGTTAACCTCACTGAGCCTCAGTTCTCCCTGATAAGATACGGATAAGAATAGCACCTGTCTCATTTGGTGAGCACTGAATGAGATGACACATGTCAAGTATTTTTGGACAATACTTGTTTCATAATGCATGCTCAAATATAAATATTAGTGGCAGTTATTATTGTTGATGTTAGAAGTAAATGATTCCAGTTATTTCACTTGGAAAAGCTACACACGAAAAATAAAAAAGAAGAAAAAAAGACTTAAGACCTTTCCATTTTGAAGTAAAAAACAAAACAAAACAAAACAAAAAACCAAACAAAAAGCCAGTCTGTTGGGGTGCCTGGCTGGCTCAGTCGGTAGAGAATGTGACTCTTGATCTCAGAGTTGTGAGTTCAAGCCCCATTTCGGGTGTGGAGCCTACTCAAAATAAAAAATAAAGAAATGAATGTATATTTTTTTAAAAGGCAAGGCTGTCGTTCATACCATGTACAAATCAAGTTCTGGCAAGTCTGTGGAACCAAACTATCTGTGAAGGTGAGGATGTTTATAGTAAATTATGTTCACCCTTCAGTATCTTAGCATCTAGCTAGGAAGACAAGATCCTCACATGTTAAAAGTAAACAATAACAGAGTGTGAGAGTTGAAATAATATAACGGATCTTCAGAACTTATATATCGAATCTGTGAGACCTCCTGATAAATTGTACCTGCTTTAAAAAAAAAAAAAAGACCTTTTTGAAATTTGCCACTGACATCCACTCAGTGGGAGTATAAAACTGTGTGCCTCCTTAGAAGTCTTTTGACATTGTCTATCAAAATGAAAAATACGTAACTTTTGACCTAGGTGTCTGAGAAATTTATTTTACAAATATTCTCTCACACATGTGTAAGGCAATATTTATAATGATGGTATTTGTTTTGTTTTGTTTTAAAGATTCTATTTATTTATTTGACAGAGAGAGACACAGTGAGAGAGAGAACACAAGCAGGGGGAGAGGGGAGGGAGAAGCAGGCTTCCCGCTGAGCAGGGAGCCTGAAGCGGGGCTCAGTCCCAGGACCCTGGGATCATGACCTGAACTGAAGGCAGACATTTAACGACTGAGCCACCCAGGTGCCCCTTAAAAATTTTTTAATGAGTTGTGTCTGTTTGTACATATGTAGGAATTTCTGGAAAGTCTATTAACAGTACTTGCTTTTTTTCATTGTATACTCATTTTACTATTTTAACATTTTTATCATTTATGAGCTGTCAATTTTAAAAACTTGAAATTGCTCAATAAACATCAGTAACAGCACTTTTTGCTTGCTATGTGACCCAGTGCCAAAAAGTGGAAGAGATACAATAAGTACTGTGATTTCCTGGGAGTACATGAGTATATGTTGGCAAAGAGTGAAGATGAGTAAGTTTTCTAAGTGCAGAGAGCAGTCCAGCTGGAGCAGGTAGGGGAAGTTCTGTCCAGTTTCAGAGATGTTAAAATGTGAAAAAAAAAAAAGGCATCCTCTAGACTTTCATCCTTTCATCTGACTTTCTCTCCTTTTCTCTTTCAAACTGGCCAGTTCCCAACAACTTGAGTGCATTTTATCCTCATCTGGTTCCTGCCTCCCTCCTTTGTTAGATATCTCGCATTTAGAACCATCTCTAGTCAGATGTGTGGTCGTTTAATATGAATATGTTCATCTGGGCTTGTTTATAGGCATTTTTATCTGGCTCATAAAGTTAGTGTGGTGAGATTAACATCCGCCACCTCTCCTGCTCTGCTCTGGCTGACAGCTTGGAGAGGTGTGCTCTCTTCACTCATATCCTGGCCTTGAGGGCCTCCCATCTCTCCCCAGTTCAGACTTGACCTCTTCCATGAGGCTTTTCCTCATGGCATCAGTCCTCAGGGATATCTCTGTCCCTTGCAGCACTTAATATTCCACTCGACAAGCAGCACACATAGCATCTAGCCAAATGTGACCCTGTGTCCATATTTCTATTTTTACATACTTATGCATCCTTGTGTCCTCTGCCCGACTCCTTGAGTTTGGTTAGCCTCCATCCAGACACAGGGCCTGGCATGAGGAGGCCAGGGGAGGCTGAGCGCCCCACTGAGAGAAGGGAGGCTTGGAATCCCACACCTGACACTACCGGTGTCCACCACTAGGTGGTGGTGGTAATCAGTCATCTCCTTAGGCATTCCGGACCTCAAATTTCTTATCTTTTAAAAGGAAGATGTTGTCTGCTTTGCTTGAGAAAACAAAAGAACATGACCCCAGGCTAGCAATAGAAGAACCCAGGTTTCATAATTGTCACCTTCACATAACAGCGGTGTTACTCGTACATATAAAAGGAGGTTGAACCACATCAGAGGTTCTCAGAGCATGAGACCCAGAGGTCTTGGCATCCTCTCAGGGGACCAACAGGTCAAAACTATTTGCATGCCAATATTCAGAGCTATTTCCCTCTTTTCACTCTTAGGAGTGTACCATGGAGTTTTCCAGAAGCGACGTTATATGTGGCACCATCGCTCTAATAACTTGTAATGAGTTTATTACTGTTACTTTTAAATGAATATTTAAATCTTCCCCTCAATTTAAATTTCTTAAAAAACAAACATATACATCTTCCATAAAGGCTCTATAAGGTCCTATAGTTTTTAAACTTAACGGGGTGCTGAGCCCAAAAAGTTTGAGAACCACTGAGCCAGGTTTCTCAGAAAACCTTCTGAGGCCAGACGTTTCCTAGATACGGAAGACATGGTCCCTGCTCTGATGGTTTACATGGGGGAGGGCCGGGGAACAGTTATATATGTTTTTTTATTTTTAAAGGTTTTATTTATTTGACAGAGACACAGTGAAGAAAGGGAACACAAGCAGGGGGAGTGGGAGAGGGAGAGGGAGAAGTAGGCTTCCCACCGAGCAGGGAGCCCAAGGGGGGCTCGATCCCAGGACCCCGGAATCATGACCTGAGCTGAAGGCAGACGCTTAACGACTGAGCCACCCAGGCGCCCCCGGGGAACAGTTAATTTGTGAGCGTGGTAAGTCCCTGAAGGCGCACAGTAGGACACCTGGTGCCTGCAGAGTGTGCTCCAGAGCGCGGGAGAGGAGGAACACTAAGCACCGAAGCCTCCAGGCTTCACACCGGAATCGCTCTAAAGGCTCTCAGCCCTCCGAGCTGCCCCAGCGAGCGGGGCAGGCGTGGACAAGCGGCCGGGCGCTAGCGTAAGATGACGTCACTGGGCCGCGCCAGCCAATCGGGGCGGCCCCTGTCGGAGGCACCGCAATTGCCCGTGGCCTGCAGGCGGCGCTGTGGCCCGCCGGGCGACCCCACAGAGCCGCCATAGCCACCCGCCTCCCCCGACTCCGCGTCGCCGCCATGGCCGACGTGGAAGACGGCGAGGAACCCTGCGCCTTGTCCTCTCACTCCGGGAGCGCAGGCTCCAAGTCGGGAGGCGACAAAATGTTCTCTCTCAAAAAGTGGAATGCGGTGGCTATGTGGAGCTGGGACGTGGAGTGCGATACGTGCGCCATCTGCAGGGTCCAGGTGATGGGTAAGCGCTGCACGCGAGGCCCGGGCCGCGCTACGGCCTCCGCGGGGCCGACTCTGGGCGTGGGGGACGGCGGAAGAAGGCTCGGAGAGACTCGGGTCGAGAGGAGTGGGGGCAGGGGTGCCGGGAGCTACCGCCGCCGCCTGGGGCTCAGCAGGCGCCCGGCGCTGGGAGCTGCTCTTCTAGGGAGAGAAACGGGCAGTGAGCAGAGGAATTAAGGTAATTTCAGGTAGTGATGGGTGTGGCCAAGGAAATAAAACTGGGTCATTTGATGGCAGTTAGGAGAAACCACTTCGGTTTGTGTGGCCAGGTCCATCTCTAAAAGCAAACAGCAAAGGGGTCAGAGTAAAGGCCCTGAATAAGTAGGGCACTTTAATGATTGTGGTCATACACCAAAGTGATGCTTTGGAGTCATCTTCCACAAAAACGACACCCTCAGTTCGCCCCTGAGAGGCGAAGGGAAGAAAAGTGTTCTAGCCATTGCATTTTTGGATTAGCTACTGCTGTTCCACGGGCTTTTAAATCTGCATGTCTTAGGATGGGGCAGATGGCACTCCCTTGTCTTGAAGGGGATACAGTGTGGTTCAAGAATATTTAAGGTTCGGGACGCCTGGGTGGCTCAGTCGGTTAAGCGGCTGCCTTCGGCCCAGGTCATGATCCCAGGGTCCTAGGATCGAGTCCCATATCGGGCTCCTTGCTCAGTAGGGAACCTGCTTCTCCCTCTCTCTCCCTCTGCTTGTGCTCTGTCAAATAAATAAAATCTTTAAAAAAAAAAAAAAAAAGAATATTTAAGGTTCGCCGGAAATGAAGAATGTAAGCCCTTTATTCAGAAACATAAAAAACTTCAT